CCTGACCAGTTTCACAGATTAGTAAACTGAGGCATAGTTATTTAAATATCGAGGTCAAAGCAAAGCTCTTCAATAAATAACGTAAAGCTGGGGCTAACTCCACTTTTGTGGCTCTTTACCTGCTGCTGCTCTAAGTGGTGACGGTGCTTTGAACAGGCCAAGTAAGAAGCACAAAAAAAGCTAGAGATGAGGCTGTTCACCATTAAATAACTTTAGGATCTGTGATGCATATCTGGGAGTTCAGATTTATTGCCCATCATTATTTAGAAATAGATCAGAGATAAAATGAACTTAAGATGTTTTCTAACTCTAGAAATACGATGGCACTGAGTCATTAAGAAACCCCAGTGCTTTACCTTTTACTTAAAGATATCTCAGATGTTAATCTGAGATTTCCAAACAGATTTCCAAACTGTACTCACCATCTAAAAGGAATAGCACAGAAATTACACCTAAGCCTAGTACATGTAAACATTATACAACTAAATATGTCTAAAAATAATATATTTTTTCAAATTCACCAAAAAGAGATTTGCAATTGATTCACGGGGAAGAGGATAGCTAGTAATAGTTTGAACTTCAGATTGTAGAGGAAAATCTTTTCCTGGAAGATCCTGTAGGTCCACATCAGGTGGATCCTATGAAAATTAGAATTCAGCCCATTTCAGACCACTTCTGAAAGCCTGATGAGATGTAGGTCTTGCTTTCTTATACCTGGAAGGCTGTTACCTACCAAAGCAGCACACTAGGTACCCTTAACACCTCAGTCCCACCTAGAAGTCAATCAAAGGTGACCCATGTTTGAACTTTCTGGCTAGAATACAGAATAAGGAGATTTTTGAAGTGATTCTCACCTAGGGACACAGTAAAAATGCAATTAAAAAAGGCAAAAGAAACACCTGTTTCTTAAGTCAAACAGTTTACTAGTTGCCAGAACACAGTGACCTTTTGTTGGTATTTATTTACTGAAAAACTTTACCTGCATATCAGGCAATTACCGTATAGGAAGGTCACCCTTGGAATACCGATTTCTGAAGAAACAAAAAAGATAACTAAGTTAAAGAACACATGAGAGAAGCCAGAAGCTTCTGATTTACCAATAGAACCAAAATTCATAACTTGAGAGATCAGGCTTAGATTTCAATCATTGCTTTGTTGAACTCACTCTCAAACACATACCATTGGTTACAAGGTGGGCCTGGAAAAAAAATTTACCAATCCAGAATTTTACTATTCATGTTATTTTAGAAATAAATGTACATGTACATATTTTATCAACATTTGGAGTAAACATTCTTAAGAGCAAATAACAACTTAATCAAATATTCAGTTCTCCTTTATAATTTATTCCACCAGGATTAACTAACATCCTAATCGTAACACTTCAAAGTTTCCTAATTTCAAAGATCAAAGAGGTTAGGTTCTTAGCTTAGGAACAAATGCTGTGGAACTACTTCACAATCAGTCCAATGTCCCTGCATATGAACTTCACTATACTGAACTACAATTCTTAGAATCAAATTTCAATTTTCCTTTTCCATTGTGTATTTTAAATGATTCCATTCCCAACCAAAATAGAAAACTACTCTGGCTCTAATACTCATTTCCATTCTACTTTTGACTAGAAAAGTCACAAATAACATTTACTATCAGATACACTCTACTGTTTTATGGATGTAAATCTCAGGAATTAGTATTATAATTGTTCTACCTAAAGAAAAATCCCAATCAGTAAACTACACTGTAGCTTAATTCAAATGGTATTGAGTCCAACACTGCATTCAAAAGAACTTGTTAATGAGTGTTACTCAGCTTGTTCAATGGACCACCAAGCAACTACAGGAGAAAATGCACACAAAAAAAGAAAAAAAAAATTTAAAACAATGGAACATCTGCCATCTTGTGGCAAGTTGGAGAAAATGCAGCAACTGTTGAGAAGCTTCTTCATATTCTAACCCTTCTGAGGAGTATTTCTTCACATTAACATTACTACTCACGTAAACAGACAATAACAATTTAATAGCTTCATTTTTTCCATAATCCATTCACAACCATTTTGCTTGACAGATTACCGTCCAGTGAATTGCAGGGACACTAAGATCCCCCTAAATTTATCAAATGTTAATAGATTCCTTGCTGAAACTAGTTCTGAAAAGATTGTTTCCCTATCCACCATGGACTAGTATTTTACTAGTAGACATCAAACTCAAACTCAAACACAAGGCTTAGAGCAATTTGTTTGAAGTCTAAATAACACTTGAAGATTTTAAGACTTCCCTCACAATTCTGGTCCCATCTATCTCCGTTTACCTGACATAACAACAGTAGTAAACAGCATTAACTCTATCAAGTCAATCTTCAACAACCTTAATGAAGAGAGGACTACTATTATTTTCCTCATTTTAAGTTAAGCAATTGAGACACAGAGAAGTTAGTAACTTGCACAAGATTGTGAAGAAAAAAGGATCTTAAACTATCAAAAGTTATTACTTCTGATAGCATACAAATTGAAGTTTTCACTTAAAACCTTGAAAATCCATGTCATTTATATCATAATACAAAAAGAAATGTTATGAATCCCAGTATCAGGGAAGCTTCAGTAGTAATTTTACTGAAGCCACATCAATCAGAAGATGAAGGTAAATTACTCCACTCTAAGAACTTCAAAGCATCTCCTATTGACAGAATGCTAGTAGTATTGTTATTAACTACCTTATAGTACCCGTGGAATTTGGAAGCTTTCCATCCATGCCAAAAGGAAATGAGAAAAATTGAGAATACAGCTGTATCTTCCCTCAGTAAAGAGCTTCTCCATCCCCACTACCTCCCTGCCAAGTTGAGGTCTGTTTTAAAGTGCCATTTTAAAAGCTGAAACGATAGTGACTACCCCTATCAGGACCATGATTCTCCTAGACTTTGTTAGGACTTTTAGCCACAAGGCAAATCTTCCTTTTCCAGGGAAGAAATGAAACTAAGATAGTCACTATTGTCCCAGAGACACTGAACTGCATGAATCTGCAAGTCATCACAAAAGATAATTTGAAAAAAAGGAAATGTAAGCTGTAAGGATGTGTAAAATTTCCACCCCTTTGACCAGATTGTTTACATTTTTAATTAAAAATTAATTTAAAAAATATACATTAAAAATTAAATAAAAATTGATTACCTCAATAGATGCAGAAAATGCTTTTGATAAAATTCATCATCCAGCTAATCTGACTCTTCTTGTGGAAAGCATACAACTTCTTTTTATTCATTTGATTGCCCATTATCCCAATACCACTCAAGGAATAATCTCTTGCCTTCATCAATCTGAATTATTTTTTTTATCCAATATTGTTCCAAATGTATTAGGGTATTTATCTTGACATCTTATCTTTTTCACTATATGCCAGAATCATAGCTTCTTTATATTAATACTTTTATTTATAAGAATTTTTGTTACTGCTCTTCTAAGTGGGACCTTACTTTTTCTGACAAATCTGGCTGTGTTTTTGTACACTACCAGTTGCTATTTTCTGTGTATTAATGTTATACCAAGTCACCTTGCTGATCTTTCATGTTTCATATTATTCTCTTGAGGCTTTAGCTTTATATAGATGCTTCTATTTGTAAATAGTAAAACAAAACCTAAGTGTAACCAAGGAGCCTCACTACACTATTGAAACAAATTTTTGGCATGACCTTAATACTGGGCAGTTAAAAGGAGCTGTGCTTGTTCAACAGGGTTAATCAAAATGTAAAGAAGCAAGTTACATAAGTACATGTGCAATACCACTGTGTGTTTCACAAACACTAAATGTATGTAACTATTTCATAAATGAAGAACTGAATTCCATAATTCCTAAAATCACAAGGGTTTGAATGCTGACAGATATGCAGCAAGAATGAAAACAGGCATAAGGTATGGTTACTTCTGAAGAGTCATAAGGGAATCAAATGACAAACTGGATAAAGAGGGCTTAGACCTCTTTTGTATAAATTTATTTAAAGAAAAACAGAGTTGGAACCAACATGGCAAAAGTGAAATATCTGTTAAATACAGGTGAGAGAATTGCTGCTCATTACAAAAGTCCAGGTGCTTTTGTAAATGCTGAAGTATTAACAGGAGCTTTTAGAAATATTTTTGACTGATCTACTGTCCAAATTTTTACCTCAAAATAATCAATTTCGCCCAGCAAAAAGATTTCATTGATTTTGGCAAGTTTCTAAAATTTTTAGCTTTCTCCTTTGCATATCTTAGTAGCAGAAATTACCCTGTTTGTCTGCTTCCTACCTTTAAAGTGTAAGCTGTGGCAGCAGACATTTTCCCATTATGTTCAGTTGCATGCTCAAAGCCTTAAAGTGGGGAGACACTCAATAAATTAATGATAAATGACTTTTAAGTGTTTGTTTCTTTCGTTTGGAAGCCTGGGTGTAATAGTGGAACCTGGGTACCATGCATATGCAGTACAAGAACCAGGTTTTGTCTAAACAGCAGGTTTTATTTTAGCCTTGACATAAACACAGGAAAGTTCTGTTCAAACACACCACACAATTCTTTGCCTACTTGGTATACAGTAGGGGTTGGAAAAAGAGTCCCACAGAGCTCAGTATGGAAACTATAGTTTCCTTTTCTGATTATAGATTTCTTCTTTCAACTCAAAATCTCGATTACCAGTTTTTGGGAATCTTTGGTTCAGCTCAAAGCTAATTCCTATATCTCAACTGCATAGCTTGTATCATTAATCTAAGACATAAATTATGATTATGAGATATTAATCTTCACCAATATTGGCTGGTTAACCTGTAGAGGACAAGATGGTAGAACTCCTATTAGAGTAAGAAATAATAATTACTGTAAACACAGTAATTTCCTGAAGAAACAGTTTATGGATGTCTTTGAAGTTGTAAACAGTATCTTTCACCTTTAGGGTATTCTATTTTTCTACAGAAATGATCACGTTACTTACTAGCCTATGAAATTAGACTCCACGTTGTAATAAACAGACAAAAGACAATCGAAGTACAATTTTTTAATAAAGATAATTACAAAAGATGGAAAAATCAGCTCAGAAAGGCCAATTACTTCTTTAATAGATCAGTTTTTTGACATAATAACACATCAATTTTAAATACTATCACGTAAAGCATGGTGGAGAAAAGAAATTTTGCTTCATAATTAGAAAACTCACAATAAAACTTGCCAAGAAAAACAAAAACAAAAAGCCATTTTGAAAATAAATACAGTCCATGCCAAAGTAGTATAAAATGAAGCCAGAAGTCTTCAAAAAGAAAAAACATTTTTCTTCCCAATATTTGCTCACTTTTTTATGGTTTCTCAAAGTGGTGAGACTCAAATTCAAGGATTGCTGAGCTGTTCTGATTTGGCTCTGTTAAAAGAGGCAACATGAAATATTAAAAACTGTACAATCTCAGTTTAAATGCAGTGACTGATAGATCAGTCCTACGGTTCCCGTCAAGAAACATGTAAGCTGGTAGTGCCTTGAGTTTTTGAAGCACTCGCTGCCTTGACCTTTTGAGTGGTTTTACAACCTATTCCAAGTCATTCTATGAAGGCTAACACAAAATTATGTGTGGCCAAGCATCTACATGCTTTCTGACAATACAAAGCTCAATTATGGTCTTTTAAAAAATTATGTTATACTAGCCCAGTGATTCTTAAATTTACCTGTCTTACAACACCAAAAAATCATGTATATAGAAATAAGAGCACCGTGAAAGATGATAAGTGTCTATATAAAAGTTAATAGCAAAACAAGGCTTAGATAAATTATGTTCAAGAATATAAACTGATCTATTTTAATACATTCAGTTACAACACTATTACTAGCTTTTGTAATTTTTAAGGCATGCTACATAAATGAAAAATGAGCAAGTAAATGAAATATAAGCTAATGGTTAAGATACATACATACTGCCTTACATACCATACAAAAATTCAGAGCATCTCATAACAACCTACTGATGATATTCCAGGTTCAGTTCAGTACTTCTCAAAGAATATATGTATACTCACCCCAACCCCAGTAAACATGCTAATTACTTTTACAGCATATAAAAATTACTAGAAAAAGAACACAGCTTACCCTTTGGTATCTGTTTTTTCACCACTATTATCCTTGGATTTATCTTCCTCCTTAACATCTAAAAACAAAAATTGGGAAGAGATTAACACCTTTTATTTTAAAATATATCTTACTTAAAATATAAAAAACTGTCATATACAATGTTATTGTTCATGAAATCAACAACTAACTAAGCTTCTGAAGATGTACTAAACAGAGGTTCAGAGTATCAATGCAACATCACAGTCCTGCCTTTGGGGACTCTCCCCCTGTGGGATCACAGCATTACAGGCAGGATATGCAGCATGAACAAGTTCAGCCAACAGACACGCGCGTAACACCATGGTAGATCAGGAAAGGCTATGACAAGTGACCTTTGAAAGGCATTCTGAAAAACAAATCTCTTTTGAGTGGGAAAAGGGAAGAAGTACCTTGAACAGATGGAAAACTCAAAAGGACTTTGAGGCAAAAAGGAACTAGGTTGGAAGGAAAAACTGCAAGACCAATTTGGCTGGAGTTTTGTGACAAGGGGACAGAATCAGAGGAAGTCAGAGACAAAACAGAAGCTAAATTCTATTGCTTATATAACCAATTGGTTTTTTTCTTTTTTAATAATGGTTAGGCTAGTACCTTTCTTTTCTAAACTTTTTATTTTGTATTGGGGTATAGCTAATTAACAATGTTGTGACAGTTTCAGATGAACTGTGAAGGGACTCAGCCATAGATATACACAGCCATTAGATTTTAAACCTTCACTATGTTAAGTATCAGAACTTTACCATTTTAATAAAAATTAAGAAAATAGTAAGAGTAACACTATCCATTCAAGATCACTGGAACAAATTAGCCAAAATGTGCTAAATTTTTTCTTTAGATAAGCCAATGAACCAAAGTTGTGAGGCACGGATTATTATACAAACATAAAGCAACATGTTTATTATGACATTTGTTTTGGCTTCTGGCTTAATTTCAGATATGTAAACAGAAGTGCCAAGTGGGGTTTGGGGAGGGATGAAGAGCAAAGAAATATTCCTAACTTCAGGTTCTGAACTATAGACTTTTAAGAATTTTTCTATGGTAGTATTTATCTGTATGTTGCAAGATTTTAACAAATGTAAGATACTATAAGAAGAATTTCATTATTAAACTAAAAAATTTAAGTATCAATTATTATCAGCAACAGAAGTACTTAGGAACTAAATACTGTGAGATTAATCCACCACCAGGCCATTAAAGCCAGATCAAAAGGCACTCTCATTTTCAGCTAAAACAGCAATGAAAGATAAGCACTCCAGTGCACCCATTATCCCATTTGGAAGAAAAAGCATAGAAAGATAAAAATTTAAAAAGCAAGGATAAATGCCAGAAAGGAAGACAAACAAACAAACAAAAAATCCAGAAAAGACAAACTGACAGAGAAAAGAAAAGTACTAGAAAAATCCTACAGCTAAGTTAAGTCCTTCTTACCTCAATCATAGCTGGAATTTCTGGATGTCAATCAGTACACAAGAGCAGACTGGAGCCATCATTGTAATACATTGGGAAGTTAAAATTATAAAATGACAGACAGAGAACAGTAGCCTATAGTGGAGTCAATCCACAAACAAAACAGAACTAGATGTACAGACATGCTACAGATTCCTAACTCTCTAGTAAGTAAAAAAAAGAACACGAGGGCCAGCTTACTCATGTAACTTCAATATGATAGAAAAAGGATGTTGGCCCAGTACCTCTAATCTGTTTTCCACATGCTATAGGGTCAAAATTAACAGGTCAACTAAAACTTGTGCTCATCACCGTTACCTGCATATAGGTAGCAGGTATCCAGCAGGAAATGCACCAAGTACAAGAATTCAAGTATTTAAGATACTGCATTCTCTAGCCAAGAGCAGCTCAACCTAGCAGGGAGATATGTAAAGTTCCTAATGAGGTGCTATAATATAATGTGTTAATAAAATGACTGAGGTATGTGTAAGTGCTCTGGAAACTCAGATAAAAGAAAACACATTCTGAAAGCAAATTCAATGCCCTAAATCATCTCAACAGACAAACTGACACATTTGTCTCAACAGACAAGACACATTTTTAAAGTTAAGACATCAGAAAGTATTATCTCCTCCTAACCCAGCTCTCAAATCCCTTCCCACCTTTCCACAGCTTTTATGTTTCTTTCAAATAATAACAAAGTCTGTACTCTGAGCCTTTTTAAAATGGTGAAACTGGTCTAAGGTTATATAATGTTAGTCTTCTTTTATGTTTTATTCTCATCAAATAAACTTACAGGCAGTTACAAATTAGCTTAGAATTTCAGCTCTGCTCATGGGCTACATATGGGTCTATAACCACTTTGTTCTTACTCAATCTAGATCACAGTGGACTGTTCAATATTTTAAGCCTATTTTGCCAAGAAGAGAGTTTCCTGTATTATAAAAGCAAATGTGACTAATAACATTTAGAGAGCTTTAATTAAAAGTTTACTTACATGGGGGAAAAAAAAGTCACCTATTTATTTATTTAGCACACTCACCTATTTCCGATACTTGTGTATTTCAGGATCTTATAAAAATTACCTTGCTGCTCACTTTCAAAAACTTACAATTAAAACATCTATCAAAAAATAAATCTGACCTGCTTTTTTGTCCTCCGTTTCCTTCTTGTCTTCTTCGATTCTAGCTTTTTTTGCTCCTTTCTTATGATCAGCCACATTTCTACGACCACCTTCTCCTTCATCCTCAGAATCTGAGAACTCTTCATCACAAGCTATTCGTTTGTCTGATGCTCGAACTGACACATTAAAAGATTTTTAACAAAATTTTGACAAAGGCAGTCATAGGTTTTACAAATGTTAAGTACACTGCTCTATAGAACTAGCCAGTCATATTTAAAAGGATAACAGATTTTAAGATTATAACTGAATGCATGGCTTGCTAAACATTAAAAATTTAGCTTTAATCTAGGAAGAAATAATTCAAAGGAATATGAAGAACATTAGAGGTTCTCATTAAAAAAAAAAAAAACAACTTTGGAGGAAAAAAATATTGCTTTTGTGATAGGAAGTAGGAGTGATCTTTAAATAAAAAGTAACCTTTTATTTCAGAGCTGAGAGGGGAAGAAGAGAAAATAAGAAATATCATTTACATCAATTATGTTAGAATGTCTATACCATAATAGCATACTATTAGGCTAAAAGCCGATAAATCACATTAAGTGGAATTAGATTGTAGAATCAAACAGAAGGTGCTTAATGTTATTCAACTCACTCTACACGTAAGTGGGTTATTTGTAGAAACTGAAATTGCTGACACTCAAATCAGGCTCTGAGACAAAGGAAATTAAATCTACATAAGATTAAAAAATGATGAAAACAAAGACAGTAATAACAGTGTACTCATGAAAACAGGTGAGGTTCTTGGGCAACCAAAACCTCCAGTCTGTAGTGTTCTTTTAATAAAGCAGAAAAATGTAACAGAATACACATCAAAGGACTATCTTACTAGAAATTCTCTTGTCTGGATCTTCTCCATCTTCATCTCCACTATCTTCATGAACTGCATCTTCTGGAATAGCTTGCATCTGGACACCAGGTGCATGAGGCAACATGCGTAAATTTTCAAATAAACGCTGTCTAAATTACAACATGCATAGTTATTAGAAAAAAATGTTTTCTTTCAAGTTGTTAAAAGTTGCATCTTTTATCTAGCTTAACCTAAGAATTAAAATAGTAACATTTACTGGGTACTGATACTTTACCTATTATTAACCCGTTTAATTCTCAAAACTTACAAGGTAGATATTAAATTTCATCCCCCATTTCAAGGGTGAGGAAACATAAGCACAAAGGCAAATTAACTTGCCAAATGTCATGGAGCTAGTGTGTGGTAAGAGAGGGCACAAACCCAGGCCTGTGTACTAACAATGTCTCTCCAAACTCTATTTCTTAGAGAAAGGTCTATCAAATGTTTCAATGAAAATAAATTTCACTTTCATGTAAAGCAAGAAAATATACAACTTATAGTGTCCTTTTCAACAAAAAAATCCATTTTAACAGAAAATGGAAATATTTTTGAGCTATGAATCCTATTATACATTTTCCATTATTTTATAAAATTAAAGAAACCAAGTCTTAAGGTTTCAAATACTTTTTGACAAAAGGGAATACCTTATGTATAAAGTTAAACTGACCTACTGCACATGACCTTCTAAAAGCTTCAAAAGTTACATTAATAATGTTAATCAAATCAAGTTGATGATGTCTTACTTTATCTTTTCCATATATTCTGGAGTGTTCTGGTTTGTCATGTTTGAAGGACTAATATGCAGTTTGAAGTCCGGTCCAAAATACTCAAAATAATCATTATATGGCAATTCTATTAAAAATAATGAAATAAAGTTACATATTAAAAGCTCAATCCATACCTAAAATCCAGACTCAAGTTGTAAAATATTTCCAGAGAAAATATTTAAAAGTGAATACAAAATGAATTTAGTGACTGCTCTCCTATTTACATAGTTTTGGAATCAACTCTAATGACCTAACCATCTTTTTCTACAGACAGTTCATCTAATAAAGACATCACAATAAGAACACTGACCGTTGGGAATCTCACAGTCAAGGGCAACTGCAGTCTCATATGTCCAACACCGAGCAACGTTGCGGATTGTGTATCCACCTCCCCCAAGCATCAGTAATGGTAAATTGAAAGTTTTTACAACTTCTACACATTTAGCATGACCTAAGAAAAAGAAGATTTGGGTAACAATATATTTACACACTGTACCAGCTGGAAAAGAAAAATTTAAAAAGATAACAAAATTTTACTCAACCAAAATGGCTTTTCTAAATATTTAAAAAACAAATAATAAGTAAAAATTTTAAGAAAATCTAAAACTTGCATCAAACACCTTTTACACAATATACAAAACTCATTGAGACATAATTGGCTATGTTAACAAGCGTCCTTGATGGAAAAGTCAAATATACAACTATATTAAGATTAAAATATAACACATTTTTATGAATGTGATATGAAGATACTATGTTCTTATAAGGTTACCTGGGGGGGAAAATAAGTGAGGTTACAATGAAACATTAAGTACAAGCTAATAGAAACTGATGTTTTGTTACCACTTTCCTCCACAGACATGAACAAAAAAATTATGTAAGACTATACAGGTTTAGTTATAGGTTATTTTAGATAGTGGTATTATGGACACTTTTCCTTTTTTTAAAATAGTATCTGGCAGTTTATTAAAAAATGGAGCATACTGAACAACAAACTATCTTACATCTTTAAGAAAAAACACTAAATTCAAAAAAACATCACCCATTGAATTTGGACACAACACCTCTCTCTACTCAATTAAGAGAAACATTTGTACAGTCCAGGTCTTTATTTTTACACCCTTCAGGCCATGAATTCATAGGGAATGGGCTCCAACAGTTCAGGTTCCTTTCCACTGGTCCTCACAAAGTGTGCTTCCCTGGGTGGAGCAGGCTGGCGCTTCAGCTGAACCCAAGTCCCTTTCTCTTTGGCTTCCTTCTTTTTCTGATCATTTTCCTTCACACATTTTAGGAAGCTATCTCGGCTCTTAAAGAGTGCTTAATATGCTCGATACGCACATTAATTCTCTAAGAATCTTGACCTTGTTTGTTTACAATGATGCCAACAGCATGCTGGGTAACACTGTAGACTCTCCCAGTTTTGCCATGGTAACATTTGTGGGGCATTCCTTTTTGAACAGTACCCATTCCCTTGATATCTACAATATCACCCTTCTTGTAGATTCGCATGTATGTGGCCAAAGGAACAACTCCATGTTTTCTAAAAGGCCTAGAGAACATGTAGCGGGTGCCCCTCCTCTTTCCCTTGTGATGGTCATTTTGGCAAATTACTGGAAGACGGCAGTTCCGGCCGAAAAAAGGCCACTTTTCTTATCTAAAATTATTACTATTAATAACAACTTTAACAAATTTCTTTGTATAGAAATTTAAATATAAAGTAAACCTAACATAAAAACAAAATATTTCCTTTAGATGTCATAATTCAGTAATCATTATGAGTCACTAGTAATTTCTTATATTACCATCATTCAGGAACATAAGTCAACCTTTAAAGCAAGAGCAAAATCCCTCAATTACAGAAGAAACTGATATATGCTGAATATTTAGAAAAATCAAAATAAGTACAAAGAAAAAAACTACCTAAAATTCTATCATCTGAAGACGCTGCTGTTGTATTCAGTTGCTAAGTCATGTCCTACTCTTTGCAATTTCATGGACTGTAGCCCACCAGGCTCCCTGTCCATGGGATTTCCATGGCAAGAATACTGGAGTGGGTTGCCCTTTCCTACTCCAGGGAATCTTCCCAGTTTAAGGATCGAACCCAGGAGTCTCCTGCATTGACAGGCATTCTTTACCACTGAACTACCAGTGAAGTCTCATCATCCAAAGACAGTTTTTTAATACTCCCTTCCAATTCTTTCTAATTTTTAAAAGCTTAATGTTTTCTTCATGTAACTATACTGTGGGCATTTTCATGAAGTATTCTTCAACAGTCATATTATATGATCCACAATCCAATTTTTATTACTGCAATTATAAAAATGCATGCTTCTTATAATAGGGGAAAGCCATTTGGGTATTTTTAAAAATGAAACAAACAAACAATTAAAGACTTCTAAGTAAAGAAAGCTGGCTAAAAAAGGACATTTCCTTTTCTTTCATCTCAAAGCCTGACAAAAATGATTATAAAGGGATTTTTTTAAAGGCTAAAACTTATAAAAATGAAGAATGGAGAACATACAATGGTAATAATATAAACGAAGATAGAAAGGAGACGGACAAGAGGTAAACTGACTTTAGCAGACCCGAGAAATCTGAATTGAAGCTGGCACTGGAAAAAGCTTGGAATCAAGTTTAAGCATTGGGATTGCAAATACCATTGTATGCTTTATACAGCTTACATTCTATCAGTCAGTTGAAATATAATGTAGATTTATAGTAAGAGTAAATGTTGTACCTTGTAGTTATGAAAGCTATTACTTTTACATGCAAAGGCATTAAGAACTTTCAAAAAGTTAAGGCAAGAAAATTGACAAATTAATGCACATTTTGAATATATTAGATAGATTTTAAGAAGATCATATCCATTTTTGAGGAAACAGATAATTTCAAATCATTCAACCTAACATAAGCAGAATAGATTAATTATATCATAATTCTGATGCTGCCTGGCACAGGAGCTATCCTAACATTAAATAAAATAGTCTTTAAAATCTAAATTTAGTTATTAATTTCTGTTTAAGCCAACAGTAGTACTCGAAAAAGGTCTACCTGAGAATTCTTCACCTTTTATGTGAGAATTCAAGCAGAACATGAACTTGTTACCTAAAAGTTCACAAGGAAAACAACTCCAAAATCCTGTACAATATCCATGTTTAATCACTATTAACCTACATACCATAAATTTTAAGAACTTATAAAATAAATTTTCAGATTTACTCTTACACCCTAGCAGCTCATTCCATAATGGTGATCTTTACTTTGGTCTGGACCTCTATCACGTTGATTTTAACACTTAAAAGCAAAGAACAGCTCAACATTCTAACAGATCTACAGAGGAAATTCACCCAAACAGCAACAGGTCAGAAGGCTGTTCTTTAAGAAGGTAAAACTGATAGAACACCTGATCCACCTCCATTTATTAATGAGTAAGGAAAAAACTAAGGAAATGACAAAATTGCACAGAAAAACAAGTTATGCAAAAGGAAAATTGAGTAAGCTGAACCATGCTTTAATGTTTTTGATGATGCCATAAACAATGACTACCCTAACTGAAATTGTGGTCTAGATTTAAACTGTAAAAGTGGGATACTGGAAGGGTAAATGCATGTGCTAGGGACAAAGTGGTGACTCCTTTCTCTTTCACAATGGAAAGTGAATATACAAGGTTAAAATTAAGTTAAAAATAAGAACACAGCTTGCAGAATTCCCTGCTGGTCCAGTGGTTAGAACTCCTGGGCTTGCACTGCTGAGGGCCTGAGTTCAATCCCTGGTTAGGGAACTATGATCTCACAAGCTGCACAGCATGGCCAAAAAAATTTTAAAAAGCTTGCATATTGTCTTAAGAAAGGTAAGCACCAAAAGAATCAACCAAAAACGTAGAAAATTATGCTAAGTGTAATATGTGGAATTTAAAAACAAATGAACAAATATAAATAAACAGAAATAGTTATAGAAAACAAATAAGATAGTTGCCAGAGGGAGAGAAACAGATGAAGGAGATTAAAAGGTACAATATAAATGAGACACAGGTATGAAATATATAGTGTTGGGAATACAGTCAATAGCAAAATAGTATCTTTGCATGATGATTGATGACAACTAGACTTATCATGGTTATCATCTGGAAATGAACAGATTATCAAATTATAATGCTGTGGACCATAAACTAACTACTATAATGGTGCAGGTCAATTATACTTCAAAAACAAACAACAAACAAACTGACAGAAAAAGAGATCAGATTTGTGATTACCAGAGGTGGGGAGGGGATTAGATGAAGATAATCAAAAGATACAAACTTCTAGTTAAAAGATAAATAAGTATTAGGGATAAAATGTACAACATGATGCAGATAATTAACACTGTTGTATGTTATAAATGAAAGCTGTTAAAGACAGTAATTCTAAGAGTTCTCATCACACAGAAAAATATATACATTTTCAATCTATTTCTTTAATGTTTTAACTACAGGAGATGATGAATGTTCACTAAACCTTCTGTGTTAATTAATCATTTCAGGATGCTGAAATCATGCTGTTGAAGTCAAATTATAATGTGCACCTCAAGCTTACACACAGCTGCATGTCAACTACATCTTAATAAAACCAGAATAAATAAATGAACAAATACAAGTTTAAAAAAAAGAAAAATATCACTGCCTTGGTTGGGACAGCAACAAGTCTTACAAAACTGATCATGTAAAAATGTATATATAAATTTGACAAAATAAAAGACCTAATTTATGAAACTAGATTAAGTGTAATTATATAAATCTTCGAAATACATACATACATATACCAAAAACCCACAAAAAATATAAAACACACATGGTTCCGTGTTAAGTATCAGGTAAAAAAATGACAATTTTTATGGGAAGTTCTTAGGAAGATTAAAAATTTTTTTTATGGAGTATCACCCTTCAAATTGCTTACCTTTAACTGTCAGATTGAAGCAACCGAGTCTATCGCCAGACAGCGAGTCTGCACCGCACTGCAGCACCACAGCACTGGGCTGATACATCTCCATCACTTTTGAAATAATCTATGTGCAAGGTAACAAATGTTAATAGCGCTAAAAAAATTTTAGAATTCCTTTTCATTTTTAAAAATAATAATACTTACAGGCTTAAATATCTGGCCATATGATTCATCATCTATACCATCTCTCATTGGAAAATTGACAGCATAGTATTTGCCTTTTCCTGCACCAATATCCTAAAATACATAGTGTAAGTAGATCTTAGAGAATGTATCATAATAAAAAGTTTGACATGTTTAATTATTAAAATATTTTTAAAAGATGAAAAGAGTAGGTAACAAACCCAATTCTGAATTCATCTTATAGGCTGAGAGAGGAAATAATACAGAATAAGTACATATTTCAACATTTATGGATATCTATAAAGCTGAAAAGAACCAATTCCAGTTAATCTGTAATGATTATTTTGGGGAGGAAAGAAATTTAACATAGTTAAGGGCAGTCTGAAATTAAATATTACATTAACTCAAGAAATTTGTCATAAACAAAATATACAAGACAAATTTACCAAACTGTAGGAAATACAAACTCAAAGCCAAGAACCCTACAGGACAGGGTTGTCCTGCATTGTCTCTAATGCCAAACCCTTCTTGGGGCTCACAATCTGGCACGAGTTGAAGACTTTCTTGAAGTTTTAACAGCTACAGACTAAAACACTGAAATCTGTCTTATTTAACTGGGCTTGAAATAAATTTTGTTTCTACTTGTCAAAAAAGTATCACTCAAGGCATTAATACTTCCCAAAAGAAGCAAAGGAGAAAAACTGAGTTCCAGTCACACATACACAAAACATATATACTTATTTTATTAACTATAATTTATGCACATGTAAATCTATGTTTATGTATATGTGTACACATGTACACACACACACTATAAACAGCTGATCTTTGAACAACACTGGGGTATAAACATCAGCATAGTTGAAAACCTGAGTTTAACATTACAGTCTGTCCTCCATATTCACAATTCTGCCTCTGTGGATTCAATTAACTGCGAGTTGTGTAGCACTGAAGTACTTACTTAGTGAAAAAAGTCCCACAGAAGTTCAAAACCTGTGCTGCTCAAGAGTCAAGTGTTTATTTTTAGAAGAGATGGTAGAGACATTTCCCATGTGTTTTAAATTACAACTGACCTGTTTTACACAACAAGGGTTTGAATGGTGGGTCCACTTTTATGCAGACATTTTTTCCAATAAATGTATTAGAAAATTTTTCTGGAGATTTGAAACAGCATGAAAAACTTGTACATAAACTGCAGTATAGAAATATTTTTGAAAATAAAGAAAAAGGTATGTCATGAATGCATAAAATATATGTAGATATACATATACAAAATATGCTAATTGGCCATTTATGTTATCATGAAGGCTATTAGTATTAATGCTTTGGGGAGTCAGTCATATGCAGATTTTCAGTTGCAGGAGAGTCAGCATCCCTGATCCCCTTGTTTTTCAAGGGTCAATTGTATGTCTCAATATATATGAACTTTTAGGATTACTAATACAAATACATGCTATTCCCTTTTTTCTCATGGAAGAATCTCAGCTTGAATCCATTTTTTAAAGAGCACAGTTTACCCTTCAATATTAGTTATTATGATCCAACTTCCAATGAAAAAGCATGAAATTACACACCCACTCCCACAATTATTCTTAAAGAGAATCTCAATTTTTATATAACTAAATACAAACTAAACACATATGTACAAACTAAAATGCTGTAAATTCTGAGACTTCTACAGTAAAAAAAACACAGCTGGAATATACACTGACACTAAGATTTCAGAATATAGCAAGGTGATGAGCACTTCTCACTCGAGTTAAAGGCGAATTAAAAGCACTTCTCACTCACAGTACACAACTGCGGCCCTTACTTGACCAAGTTTTATACCCTCCATAACTGCTACTTTATCACACCCTTGTTTTTTTTTCTTCCATCTAGACTACTGATCTAATAATAATGCAAGCATAGTTTTAACAATGATCTAAGCTCACAGTAGACTTTTTTTCTGATTTAGAATGAATTCTCAGGTAGAGAAGGTAATGTTTAATACTTGAGCTTCATTAAAGTCCAAATACAACAACACATACAATGTAGGAAACTGATTTTAGTTTTTGAAACTTGGGGATATCTTTTAATATCTAAAGGGAAAAGAAATGTGACATTTCATAGGAGTATAAAATCTTGAGAGGGAAAGAGATGTTGAAAGTCATTTTCAATCTCTAAAACACACATTTTCCAGTATCTTCCAACAACTTCAAACAATTCTAAGTACACTGTCAGAAATTAAACAGAGGCTTCCACTGCCATTTCTGAGATTAATTAAAATTATGCTGCAAGACACTTATTTCTTTAAGCTTAAAGCTGGGAAAGTTTTTGCTTAACATCAGAAAGCAATGGTTATAGACAAATTCTACTGGTTTAGAGCGGTGGTTCTTGAATTTTAGTGTGCAGCATAGAATCATTCAGTTTCTGGAGTCTGAGAATATGTGCTATTAAGTTCTCAAGTATAACTGACTCTGCTAGTTTAAGGATCATTGGGAATCACTGGTCTATAAGGTAAGACCAAGTGGGGAAAGGCATTGAAGGAGCTAACATGGCAAGAAAGAACTGAAAATATGAATTATTTTAAAAAACCACATAATTTAAACTGAAATAAATGAAACAAATGACCCTCCTACCCACTTATAGGTAAAGAAAAGTTTCACCATCTGAACTCTTACTGAAAGAACACAACCTTATGATCAAATAATTAAATCATATATTTGAAGACTACTTTAAGCCCACTCTAAACTTTTGGTTGTTAAACTCTAACATAACAACATACCACAGACTTAAAACTTACCTTAACATAATAGTTTAGGACTAATGTTGAATGCCATGCTAAAAGAAATCTCCCATATAATACAGCTAAATTAAAAGCAGCTGTATAAATTTTTGAATAAACTTCAACGTGCTTGCAGTTTGGTTCAAAAAACAAAACCTCTAGTGAAGCAAAAAGAAAAAAAAGGTGGGGGGGGGACTTCAAAGCACTAAATAAAAGATAACAGAAATATATAGAAATAAATGTGCTTAATATAAACAGGCAGGCAGGATAAGCTATGATATTCTTTTTCTCCCTAAATTGCAAGGGAGTTGGGGGATAGAGATGAGGGAGGAGACAGGGAAGCCTAAAGAAAAACAGAGATTAAAGTCTGAGTAATTAAAGACCAATCACAAAAGGAGGGCAATACAAAAACCTTAAAAAGACTCATCAATTATTTTATCCCACCAAGCTTTATATTCAATAGCAATATAGGCTACAATCAAGTAGGTTTTGAAGATTCAAACTTAACATCAAGAAAACTGCTTCATGCTTTGTGGATGTTCAAAAGTATTTATTCAACCAAAGAAAAAGCTCAGCAAAAGAAAGCCCTTAAAGTTATTGAATTTTTGCTTATAATCAGCAAAAAAGTGAATTACAAGAACGTTAAGCACATAAAAATGACTTAAGCCTTCATATAAGCTTCAAATTAATGATCCAGAGAAATATGAGTTCACATCCAAAAATAACAACCGCAAAAACCATAACCTCGAAAAAATGAACCAGACAGAACAAAATAATACCCCTAAGTCTCAAGATCCAGGAAAGAATACCCAAAACTTATCGAACAAGAAACGCATTACAAGATCAAGGCTACAAAAACCATCCGCAACAACACCACAACCAGAAAAAACAATATCAAAATATAACAATCGCTGACCAAACCAGAAAACAAAAACTGAAGGGACCAAAAACCACGAAAGAAAGGAACAAAAACCAGAGAGTCAAGAAAACTATTTCACACCCCCCGCACACCAGAATCAAGAAGCCCCTGTAGTCCTTACTTCCAGCCTAACAGAACAGTCAAAAAAACCACCAACAAGACAGAATTGGAACCTCAGAGCGCAAAAATCACTCCACACCCTGCACAACCAAGCAAGAAAATGCACATAATATACGAAACATATAAGATAAAGAAGCAAAAACACAATATACAGCCCCAAAGATCTACAATCCAAGAGCACACCCAAGTCACAAAAGAAACACTAAAGCACCAGACACATCACGAATAAACCGCAAGTAAAACAAAAAAGGAGCAAACACAGTTCAAAAGCGAAAAATGACTGAAACAAAATCTTGAAGAAAAAATAGGAATTTGACAGGCAGAAAAGAAAGAAAAAGATAATCAAAACACAAAGAACAAGACATACAAAAATAAAAAAAAACGGAAATTGAAATGCCGAGAAATAAAGCACAAAGCAAAAACACACATGCCTGGCCAGGAAAGATGAACGAGACCCTCGTAAACACTCCAAAGCAAACTCCCACACACAAAAGACAAGCTTCACAGCACAGAAAAATCAGCCACAGAAAACGAAAAACAACAAAAGAAGACAAAGACAGAATAAAAGGAACAGCTACAAAAAAACACAACAACCAAGAGAAAAGACCAAAAAGGGCAAAACAAAAAAAAAAGAAAGTCAACACAAGATAACACCCCCACAACGCAAAAAAAAAGGATGATCTGCATGAAAAAACATAACACACCACTAAAACAAACACAACAGGAAGACCACAGCCAAACCAAAAGAACAAAAAACAAACACAAAGACTAAACAAAACAAAGCGGGAAAAAGAAAAACCAAAACAAAAAGAAAAGAAACAAAAAAAAAAATACAAAATAACGACGCATCATAGACATTATGAAAAGAAAAAAAAAAAAACAGCGGAAAAGACATAACCCCAGAGACCAGCTTGAAAACAATCAGACAACAAAATGGAGGACATCAGAAAAAACCAAAGCAAAAGAAGAAAAACAGAAGACAAAAACAGCGAACCACACCACTAACCCAACCGAGAGAACACCAAAGACTACAGGACACGGGGGCCAAAACAGACTCGGACACAAATCAGCAACTGGCACCAAAAGATCACAGACAGCAAACAAAATGTCCAAAACCCTCAAAACCCCACAGCTCTCAACAAAACAAGCTCCTACCACTCCAAAAAACAGACACAAAGAAAACAAACGAACCACGGGAAGACAACCAGCAGCTGCGCAACAAAGACACCGCGGAGAGAAAGACACAGGAACCAACACCAACAGTAAGCAAAAACAAGCAAAATAAAAACAAGAGAGGTGACTGAGCCCACCACTAGTAAAGTAACAGAGCCCAGGTAGCTAAAGACACAACACCAAATATAAAAGGACAGAAAAAACAGCAATCACAAATAGGAAGCATGAAACAACTCAAGACAAGAACAATTACAAATTGAAAAAAAAACAAATAAATTAAAATAAGAAAGAGAAACGCAGAAGACCCGTTACCCAACGAAAAACAAAAAAAAAAAAACCAAAAATAAAAATCCCCAAAAACACAAACACCCCTACACATCACAAGCAAAAAAAAGAAGTCAACAAAAACCAAAAAAAAAAGCCCACAAACAACTTAGACAAAATTAAACCCAGAAAGACAAAACAAAACCAAACTCTACGAGGGACCGAAACAAAAAACTGAACAAATACAAGAAGTAAAAAAAACACAACAAACGCAACAAAAAGAGAAATAGAAAACCTAAAACTTAAAAAACATGAAAAAAAAAACCACTAAGCACACCACATGCAGCCCAAAAAAGTTTAAAACCACATCGCCCATCGAAAAGATCAAAATACATCCAAGACTTCCAAAAACAAACTCAAAAAACTCACAGACAATTAAATCCAAACACAAAGCTCAAAAAGCAAAGCAACAACCAAA